ATTTTGGAAAAAATGACCTAGAACATGCAGATAAATAAATATGGCAAAAGAACTGAAGAAATCTTCAACAACATAATATGAAATTAAAACAAACAAAAAAAATTGGCATGTCCTCTGCATAAAAATGGACACATTAAGAGCTAGAAATTTGGCGAAACGGAAATAAATCAAGGTTTTGCCAAAACTTGAGCGCTTATAGTATGAATCCTGTAAAGAAATGAATGCATATATTACAACACAATATGAATTAAAAACAAACAAAAAAATTGGCATAACCTCTGCATAAAAATGGGCACATTAAGAACTAGAAATTTGGCGAAACGGAAATAAATCAATATTTCATCAAAACTTTAGCGCTTATAGTATGAATCCCTATAAAGAACTATAAACTACAACTATATGGCTGTTGAGTTCATATATACGGCCAGTTTTGATTGCTACAACTATAAACTAAAACTATCGAACTACAACTAGAAATATCAAACTACAACTATAAAGTACAACTATGATTTATTTTAAGGTGTGAATTAAAAACTATACAACTAGAAACTACTACTATCAAACTAAAACTAGCTAGAAACTACAAGTACCTAGAAACTAAAAATTAAAACTACAATGATGAAACCCTTAACCCTAACCCTAGTCGAACGTGGCTGTTGCCGTGGCTGTCTGTGTGCGTGGCGGCCGCGGCCGCGGGTGGCGACGAGGACGACCAGAAATACAAGCGGGGACGACGACCTTATACCACCTGGAGTGGAGGGAGATGGGGCGACAGATCGAGGGCAAGGGCGACACGATGGAGAGCGAGGACGACGACGACAGCGGACGGCGACAGGGCCGCGGTGGAGGGCGAGCACGACGACGAGAGCGAGATGGGGGAGAGGGTGAGAGTGGGGTAGGGGAGGTGGAGGGGGCGCATGGGTGCAGATAGTGCTCATAACGTGCAACGGGCACTCCATTCCACCCACCAGTGCTAATTTGGGGGTGGCGGTCGGCAATCCGTGAATTGAATTTGGACAGTCTGTCGCTAACCTACGTGTGGCGGGCACGGCCAGCTGCCCACCACAGTTAGTATATGGATTAATGCAAATATATATAACCGGTTGGAGGCTTTTAGCTGTGGTGGGGACTTCGTCCCGCCTGTAACAGCTCTGGCGGGTAAGTCTAGCCGCTCGCCACAAAAAACATTCATAACATGGCCACAACAGTACTTTTTTGTGGCGGGTGAAGTATTCCGCCCGTCACTGGAGGGCCCCTAGCTCCGGCGGTCGTGTTTTGTTACCCGCCATTGCTGCTTCTCCTAACTAGCTGTGGTGAGTTCACCTATAAGGCCTTTTTCAGTAGCGTTTATTTGATATTTATAGATACTGATACTTTTTTTCTTAAAACTTGGTAAAAATTTATGAAGATCAAATTTTAAGAAAATCAATGCGGACTATTTTTTTAACATAGTACAGACGCATGCGTTCATATACGCACACACACTTATCCCTATGAACACAAACACGCACACTATGAGCACCTCCAAAAAACTGAGCGTTCATATTATCTTAAGATTGACGAAGTCACCAAAAGCACCCCGTATTTGACGAGAACGTCTCTCACTAAACGCGTATTGCCAGAAATTCTGAAATAAATCCAGGAATAAATGAGAGCATCAGGACTTGAATCCTGGTGGACAGGGGATACCACTGTCCTCCTAACCATCCAACCACAGATTGGTTCGCCCAACCCCAATGTAGACTATATTATGGGACGGAGAGAGTATGTAGGAACTTGATATTTTCCTTGTCAATGTACAAGGGGATAGTAAAAAAGATTAAAGTCCGATCCATAGACACAAACTTACTCTTGAAATTTTGGCTGATTGGGTTTAGATATCAGAAGTTTTTTGAGATAGACGTGATGTGTAGGCAATTTTGTATTGATGGCTTGGTGCATCCGCCGTATGCAGCGGTCACAGATTCACAAATCATTAAACGATGAATCGATCGCCATCGAAATGCCATTGAGAGTGGTGCTGCCAAGTTTGTCACTTTGTCTAGATATCAAGTGTGCAGTGTGCTAAGCCAATGTGCGATATGTAAGCACATAATTTTTTTTATTGCGGGAATAAGCACAGCATATTTAACATAGTACCAGTGAAGTTTTCTTGTTCTGTGTTGGGAAAATTGAAAGGAAACCAACACCTGAAAACTTTACTGAAGGTGTTACTAGGCGCCGCGCCCCGTAAATGTTCAGGATATGCTGTCATCTCGCTCTGGCAACGTTTTGGCTTTAGTTACTGCCTTGGTGATCATGCACGGAAAACATAAAAGCAAGTTAGTGTCAGTTAAGAGAACTACAGATTTTGGTAGAAGGTGCTTACTTGCACATAGATGTTCTTCATCTACTAAGAAACAGAATGTATAGCGCGGACGTTCACCGCAACATGCCACGGCACGACGCTACCCTGCACCGTCCGATCGAGTGGTGATGCAGCATGCTTGAAGGTGATGATGATGTCAGGGCTAACGCGCGACCTGTTACGGCCGTCGCGCCGTAGTAATCTCCAATTTAGTTTTGTCAAATATATTGACGGTGCGCTTGAGCTTGGCAAAAACAAGGCATGTGTGAACATGAGCTGGGCCATTAAAAACACTAAGCCATGTGTAAATCCAAAGCACCCGTCCTTTACCAAACCAAGATCCCTACATATATAAACCCAGCCATGCCATGTCAAACCCACACACGAAGCTACAAGAGCCACCCAGCCAGCCAGCCAACCAGTCTTTACACAGCAACAGCTACCGCACGCATACGTAGGAACTGAAACTTCTTACCATGGCAAGGCTCTATGCTGTGTGCTTGGTTCTGCTCGCCTTCGCCATGGCCGTGTCGGCAGATATGGCGCCGATGATGGCCCCGATGGCGGCAGATATGGCGCCGATGATGGCCCCGATGGCGCCGATGATGGCGCCGATGATGGCCCCGATGGCGGCAGATATGGCGCCGATGATGGCCCCGATGGCGCCGATGATGGCGCCGATGATGGCCCCGATGGCGGCAGATATGGCGCCGATGATGGCGCCGATGATGGCCCCGATGGCGGCGGACGCGGGCGACTGCAACAGCGACCTGCAGGACCTGGTTGCCAACTGCCAGAACTACGTCATGTTCCCGGCCGAGCCGAAGATACCGCCGTCGCCGGCCTGCTGCGCCGTGATCCAGAGGGCGGACATGCCGTGCCTGTGCGCCAAGGTCACCCCGGCGGTCGAGAAGGTCGTCTGCATGGACAAGGTCGTGTTCGTCGCCAAGTACTGCAAGAGGCCCTTGCAGCCTGGCTCCAACTGCGGAAGTAAGTGTTAGATCATATGCAGGTTACGAGCAGTTTCCAAAATTTCCAAACATATGTTGGATCAACTAAAAATTTCTGAAAGTTGGACAAAGGGAATGCCAATGTAGGTTTTATTATGGTTGCTTTTTTCTGTTGTTTTGCAGGCTACCCCGTTCCTGGTCTGATCGTGTAGTGCAGCATATCTTCTGATTGGATGATCACGAAGACCGCAGATGCTATTTTCAGCTTTCACCATTGTACTAGTGCTTGTGACTTGCATATTTGCTGAGAGATAAGTTGCTGGACTATCCCCTAGATAAATCCAGATACTTTATGATAAGTATAAATAAAGTTGACGGCAAATGTATTGATTGCCAGTTAAAAAAAACAGTTGGCTATGTACGTGTACTTGCGTTTCTTTAAAAGATAGTTAATTTTGTGGACGCTTGTTTTTTCGAAGAGGATCAAATCTGTTATAAAGATTCATGAGAAGTACAAAACACAACATAATAAAAATTGCATCGAGGTCCATGAACCGCCGAATGACCATTGTGCCGCCAAAACGAGCCACCGATGCGCCGCTGTTGCCGTTCCCATACCGAAGCCGGCCTGACCTTGTCAATAACAGCTGGAAAGTCTGCGTGCATGTACCCCTAAAGACCAGCGCCCCGAAGCCACAGTCGTCGCCCTTGAATCCTTGAATAGACCTGAAGAACCTGGCACCAAATATTGCCATTGCGTACACACGACGAGAAATGCTAATCTCACTGCCCAGATGAGTCAGAAATACAAATATGTACTCCACTGTAGAAGTAAATATTGGACTCTAGTAAGTACCACACGTAAGATACGAGCACATGCCAACTTCGAACGTTTTTTATGGTAAGTTTAGCTACGCGAGGATGGCGATTTAGTTGGCAAGCATGGCAACTTTGTGCTTCAGTTTATTTTTCGACCGAAACTTGTCGTGTGTTACTGAAATTTGTCATCTTTGCATGACTGGAATTGCTATCGAATAATGTCAGTGCCGGAGTGCCACACACCTGACGTGTGTCACTTATCATTTAGGTCAATATTTGTTGAAATGGATTAATGCTTCAATACACATCATAATAAATGGTCTCATAATTATCTCACAAATATATACTAAACATATAATCAGTGAAATATATGCTGCAAATGCCTCGATCTGTATTCATAGTTTGCATTAATATGATACATCATACATGTATCCAACCTGGCTGTGCATGGGTGTATTCATTAAATAGTTGCATTTGTTGAGACGAGTCAGTACAACAAACATAAGTGCTCGCAGTTGACTATAAGACAAACAGAATGGACGGTTGAAATTTCTTAGAAAACATTATATTTTGGAATATATATGCAACGGAACAAAGCAATAGAAGTGTAGACACGTGTCTACATAGGAACCAGGTGTTGACACTTGTCAGTGCAACAAACGCATGTGTGTACATCTGTCTACATGAGAAACAGAAGTCGTGACACTTGTCAATCACCACCCACACCTTGATTGAAGTAATTATTTCCCCTCGGGTGAATTCATTCCCATCCATGCGCCTATATAAACCCAAGCATCCAACAGAGGACAACCACACCAAAGAACAGAACTCTAGACTTAACATCTAAGAGAGAGGTAGCCAACCGATTACTAGTAGTAGTAGTTATGGCAAAACACTTTGGTTTGCTCTTGGTTCTTGCCTTTGTTCTTGTTGTGACGGCTGAAGATTGTACCGTCGACCTAAAAGGGCTTATCCGGGAGTGCAAGCAATATGTGATGTTTCCCGCCAGCCCAAAGATAACTCCTTCGAGTGCATGTTGTAGTGTGGTTCAGAAGGTCAATTCACCGTGCCTGTGCTCCAAGGTCACCAAGGAGATCGAGAAGGTGGTATGCATGGATAAGGTTGTGTATGTCGCTGATTACTGCAAGAATCCACTCAAACCTGGCTCCGACTGTGGCAGTAAGTGTTATATTTTGAGCCACGTATTATGTACCACTAATACTTGTCATGAACTATGCATGACATGCTTTTGTTTTCTAATATTTTCGCAGGTTACCATGTCCCATCTCAAGGCCGATAGATGGATGTTTCGTATCTGGTAATCAAAGGAGAAATGTTGATTTAGTTCCTAGGCCTCTATGTTGACTGGTTCCGCTTTTATGATATGTGATAGGTTAAGTTTATGTTGAGTAATTCCTAGGGAATGTGGCCGGTTGTGCGGTGGAAGATCCATCAATGTATGAGTATTAATAAATATTTCTCCTCAAATTACATGCTTCCTCTATTTTGTTTTTGTTTGGTCCTTTTCTGGTTTTTGATTCCTTTGAATGTGAATGGGGATTGAAAACAAGAAAAGGAAATCTTTGTCAGAAGCTTTTTTTTGTCTCACTATTCGATGATAAGTCCTTTGTGAAAGTGTACGGTAAGTATATGCTTGCAAATGTTAAAATTCAGAGGTGGAACATGGACATGTGAAAAATAAACATAGAAGTAAATATTGGCTAAACTGGATTGGTGCTTCGGTACACATCATAATGGACTAATATACACTCTAAATATCTCAGAAGTATATACTAAACATATAATTAATGAGATATATGCTACAAATGCCTCGATCTTTATTAATAGTGTGAATTAATATGTTACATGTATCCAGCCTGGATGTGTCTGGATGAATAAATGTATTCAATAAATAACTACATTCATTGAGATCTTTCAATACAACAAAAGTAAGTGCTCATAGTTGACTACAAGACAAACCCAATGGACCATTAGTATGGTTGTGAATTGGTGTTGGCGCCACGTGGTGCAACCATTGGTACGAGCGCTCCATTGCTAGTGTTGATGAAGTGGTGTTGGCACCATGTGGTATGACCATAGGTATGACCGGGAGCACTCGGACCATGCATCATAAACGCTTTGGTTGCTCTGTTGAATTTTCGCCCAAAATGGAAGTAGCTCCAAATGACTTCATTTGATAAGATGTTGATTGGGTTTCTTCCATATGTTCATTCCTGCACATCAATAGTAACAACAAGCTTTCTTCTTTCTCGAAGGATTAGTGTTAGAAAGACGCGAGAAATATCTAAAACCCTGTGAAAAACATATCAAAGCCCTCTTATAAAAGTGACAAAATATCAAGCCATTAGTACCCAGTGTTATCCTTTCTGTCTTGCTTGTCTGTTTGTGTCTGGGTTTTATTTTCGGTTGGTTATATGACGTGTTTTCCACATGCTAGGAGTGGTTGAGGAGCGAAGACCAACGTTCACTTCTGGTATACGAAGAGGTCCCGTGGCAGGCGGGGGTGGTTGATGAATACCTTTGGTGAATAGGTAATGGATACCAGAAAGGTTCCCAACCTCTTTCCCCAAGGAGTGACCCTGAGTTATTGAACCCACGAGAGGGCGTGCACTTGTGACAAGGGTTTCTACCAAGCTTTTGTGAGAGAATTAAATTGCAGTTTTTATACTAGATCGTAATCAAGTTGGAACAAAGAACACTTGTAATAAAAAAATAGTCATGGGTATGCTGACTTGATTCTTATAACCATATTTTTATGATCGGGATCAATATGATCTTAATTTGTGCTCTGGAAGGCAACAGTTAAGATGTGCTTGCAATATATCTAAGTGCGGATGTGTCAAAATTATATCTTGATCAGAATGCGCCCTGCATCAAGAGTCACTTTTCAAACTATATACCTTTCCGTGGCACGAGATTACCTTGATTATTAGGATAAATCAGACAAAAGCATTGAGCGTTTAATGACTACACCTCATGTATCCCCAGAGATTCGATCCACGCTACCATACTAAACCATTCTGTCACTAGTGTTCAGAATAGCGCTTCACATTCGCCTTGCCCTTAGTCTCCTCGCGGATCGAACTCCATGATCCTGGGTACCTGCAGGGACAAAGAACACAAGAGAGACAAGGGACAACTACGATGCAATTTTATTTCACACATGCATGATGTTAGTTTAAATTCATTCCATCGATCCCTCAAACAAATACATCAGGTTGCAAGACTATGCCTCAACCCATGACCTTTATCAAGTTACTCACACACGGTGACCGGATTGCGAGAAGAAATCATTGAAGAACACGTCAAGATGAATGCTTTATTGATAATATGTCTTACAATGGTTGTCGGATGCGATACAAGATTACAAGTATGACTAACTTGGAGATGGTTTGCTGCGATGATGGTGATGGTGATAGTGGTGGCTAATGGTGGAGGCTAGGATTGAAGAATGGCTTCTAGTGCGGAGATTAGGTTCTAGTGGTTGCTCTGCCGCGAATATGAAAAAGGCCCCTTTATAATAGTTGTCAGGTTGGACCCATGGAGTTGGATGTGCATGGTACAAGCGCTTGCGCTCGTACCAGACGCCGTCTTGCGCTCTGGTGCGCCTCCCACTTGATCTATCTTATCTCCAATTTGCTCCTTTCCATATATATGCTTGATTTGGTCCATGTTTAGCCCATTTTCATATGGAAACAAAATAAAGAGAGGATTTTGAAATACTCTGCATTCATTAGTAATTGATAGTAATACCAAAGCGGGTATCTCGGTTTTTATGAAATCAAAAGGTTTAAACTATGGTGTGATGAGTGTAAAAAGAACACTCATCAATGGTCCTTTGAGCTATTTATATCTATGTCAGCTAGTGCCTTTTCTCTGTTGGATAGTGTTCTTATGTGATGCCTGGTATTCTTTGTGCCGAATTTGAACTTGGTTTCCTTTACATGAACGGACGGGTGGGCACTGACGCTTCTTTTACCTTCCTTTTAACCCCTGCTACTGGTTTCATGTACGCGTGTGCCACTTCGTGTGGTGGGTTTTATCGTTTCACTTGCCAACATGGTGTCATTCCCTTTAGCCCGCCAGCTTCACCATATCATTTTTCTTCCTTCTGTGGCCCTTTTCTACACTCCCTCCATCTCGCAAATATTTCCTTGGTCCTTTCGTGTGGTCTATTTGATGAAATGCATGTGGTCTCATCCCTAATGCTTGAGTAGGGTTTTTTCTGACTCCTAGAGGATTCAATTGACTATTGTTGATGTTCGATTGATCGTGCCTTCTCATAATCCAGATAAACCTTGTCAAGGTTTGGTATTTTAATTTTTATTGCATGAATGATTTGTCTACAAAATGTGTTTGTTTGTGACGTGCCACTTGTGTGACGTAAAACCGATTTTGGTCACCAGAAATGTGCTAGTGATGGTTTTCGACCATCACCCAGGCCGTCAGAGAAGCGCCGTCACAAAAACAAATTCCTATGATAGCCTCTTTTTCTGTCACCTAAGATTGTAGCTTAGGTGAAGGTTATGAGTTTGTCATGAAGGTGCATTGTGGGTGACGGCTAGTATTGTCATCTTGGTTCGGCCGATTTATCACTACCACTTTTGGTGACGATAATATATCACTAAGTCGGTGCGCGAGGTCTGACCGGCGGACGATTCTAACATATGGGCACAGTAGATGCTGACTTGGCTGCTTACATGCGAGTCCCCTAGTATTTTTTGGTGACAGTGGGCCTTCACTAACAACTATGTTCGTTAGGTTTGGCCGGTCAACGTTATTGACATATGGACAAAGAGACAAAGAGATGCTGGTGTGGCTGCTTACATAGGTGGGCCCTAATGTGGGTGACATGGTTTCTTACATGTGGGTCCACTAGTGATGACATGCATTACCTTCATAGTTTGTAGATGTCGTCTATTTTTTATTACAATTTGCAGACAAATTTGAATAAAATTATTTTTTATTTTTTAATATGAATTTGTGCAAAATTTGAATTTTAATGCAAAATAGCTATCACAACTTTTATTAAAAGATAACCTAGAAATTGACGCATGAACTATATGACACATTACTTATCAACCATGGGACAGAGAATCCCACAAGAAAATAAGACACATGATGCAGTTTCATGACCATCGAACAATGCACCAGTATGATAGGTTGTTTTTTAGAGGCTGATAGGGGATGCTTGCAACAACGTCCTGATGATGAAATAAAGCATCCCATCAATATCTTTTTGTCTCTTCTCAAAGTCCAAAATTTTCTCTTCCGTGGCATTCTTGACAGCTTCAAATTTTTCCTGCTAGTCTACGAGGGCATTGTTGATAGATTGACATTCTTGATGTTGCTCTAACAAGGCCATTTTGGGACATGTAATCTTTGATATAAATATGCCCTTCACACTTTTTAAACAATTCCTTGGCATACTCTTCTTCGATACACATGTATATTTTCTAAACTCCTGACTACATATCGATTCTAACTTTCTAAGCATAACTACCATTCTAAAGAAAATCTAAACCCTATTGTGGATAGGTGTAGAAATTAGAAAATTGAGGTAAAAGGGGATAACTACACAAACCTCAAAAAGGCATTACAAACGAGAAGTTGTGTTTACTAAAAGGTGGGATCCGAACATCCCTTATAGAAACATTTTAATTTCCCCACCTCTAAATTCAACAAAAGAATACATGATAAGGTTCAAAAATCAAATTTAGCAATACCTATATTATAAGAATATGCAAATAAATACATAAAAAGTTATCAATCCACTCTTAATTTTCTTTTAGTTTAGTTTGATTTTCTCAATTAGTTGTGAGCTTCCTTAATTCAATTTAATTTTCTAAATCACTGCATAGATGAAATCTCACACGCACCCTCATCCCTAGGAGAGAAGGTAGTCTACCAAAATACCTACACAATACTACTGTCATGTGAAAGAACATGTGTGGAACCAGTGTGAGTCGATGCTGACATGGTGCAAAACACTAATTTTTCCATGGAAACTCCAATGACACTACCTCCTGACAATAAATTCTAGGTCATCGTATGGATGCATCTTCCAATGTGATCACATACTAGAGTTTTAACACATTCAACAGGAGAACCATAAGAGAACTATTACAATAGAGGAAACCATAATGGTAAACAATACATAGCACCTCAATAATCTAAAGATGTAACAAACAAAACATCACAATACTTTGATCACATCTTCTTTTATCACAACCGAGCACACTAAAAGAAACAGCCTCTTCTATCCTAAACCTTAAAGAT